AACGTAAGAAAAATTTTTTTTTAAGACTAGTCAAGTGCAGTGGTGAGGAGGGCGGAAAGTAGTAGAACAAGGAGTTCAATCTGTAACTGACTGTGAACAATCAAGTGAGATAACTCACTACCTTTGGACCAGCCAATTTAAGAGATTTTTAAGAATTAGAATTGATAACATTTAGTGTATGATTGGCTGGGGGGAAGAGGAAGAACAGGTAGAGGAAGAGAAGGTTGAACAAGCAGAACAATCTAGAACAGCATTATTCAACAGAACTTTCTGTGGTGATGAATATGTTCTACGACTGTGCTGTCCAAATAGTGACCAACTGAGAACTTGAAATATAGCCAATGCAGGCTATATTAGTGGCAAGGTTTGAGAGGGTTGACTCTTAATTTTGAAAGAAGTTCTACTGTGTGTAAAATACCATCAAATAGCATCACATGCTACAGAGAAATCTTTCATGAAAGGAAGAGTCAAATCAGTGTGGCAAACTTCATTGTTGTCTTATTTTATAAAACTACCACATCTACCAAACCTTCAGCACCCCCTCCCTGATCATGTCTGTAGTCCTAGCACTTTGGGAGGCCAAAGTGGGAGGATCACTCGAGCCCAGGAGTTTGAGGCTGCAATGAGCTATGATTGTGCCACTGCACTCCAGTCAGGGCAACAGAGTGAGAACCTATCTCAAAAGAAAAAGGAATGGCCGGGCGCGGTGGCTCACGCCTGTAATCCTAGCTCTTGGGAGGCCGAGGCGGGCGGATTGCTCAAGGTCAGGAGCTTCAAACCAAAGCCTGAGCAGGCGAGAGCCTGTCTCTACTATAAATAGAAAGAATTAATTGGCCAACTAGATAATATATATAAAAAATTAGACCGGGCATGGTGGCTCATGCCTGTAGTCCCAGCTACTCGGGAGGCTGAGGCAGAAGGATCACTTGAGCCCAGGAGTGTGAGGTTGCTGTGAGCTAGGCTGACGCCACGGCACTCCATCTAGCCTGGACACAAAAGCGAGACTCTGTCTCAAAAAAAAAAAAAAAGAAAAGAAAAAGAAAAAGGAAAAGAAAGGAAATAGCCAATGTGGGTAGGGCGTGGTGGCTCACGCCTGTAATCCTAGCACTCTGGGAGGCCGAGGTGGGAAGATCACTTAAGCTCAGGAGTTCGAGACCAGCCTGAGCAAGAGTGAGATCCCATCTTTACTAAAAACAGAAAAAATTAGCCAGGCATCATGGCACACACCTGTAGTCCTAGCTACTTGGGAGGCTAAGGTAGGAGGATTGCTTAAGCCTAGAAGTTTGAGGTTCCAGTGAGCTATGATGATGCCACAGCACTCTAGCCCAGGCAATAGAGCAAGACTCTGTTTTAAAAAAAGCTAACAATCATCTGAACCTCCAGCAAGTCTTATCTTTTTGCTGGTGGAGAGTCTTGCCTTGATGTTGATGGCTGCTGATGGATCAGGGAGGGGTGCTGAAGGTTGAGTAGATGTAGCAGTTTTGTAAAATAAGACAACAATGAAGTTTGCCACACTGATTTGACTCTTCCTTTCATGAAAGATTTCTCTGTAGCATGCGATGGTGTTTGATGTATTTTACCCACAGTAGAACTTCTTTCAAAATTAAGAACCTTTCCACTTTCAAAGGTCCTTTCAAACATTGCCACTAGTAATAATGTAAATTCTTGGTTGTCATTTCAACAATATTCACAGTATCATCGCCAGGAGTAGATTCCATCTGAAGAAACCAGTTTCTCGGGCCAGGAGCGGTGGCTCCCGCCTGTAATCCTAGCAGGGAGCCCGAGGCGGGAGGATCACTCAAGGTCAGGAGTTCGAAACCAACCTGAGCAAGAGTGAGATCCCTGTCTCTACTAAAAATAAAAATAAATTAATTGGCCAACTAAAAATATAGAAAAAAAAAGAAAAGAAACCAGTTTCACTGCTCATCCTTAAGAAGCAAATCTTTATCTGTCCAAGTTTAAAAAAAAATTTTTGGAGATGGGGTCTTGCTCTGTCACCTAGGCTGGATACAATGGTATGATCCCAGCTCCTGCAGCCTCCAACTCCTGGGCTGAAGTGATTCTCCCATTTCAGCCTCCTCAGTAGCTGGGACTACAGGTGCTTGCTAACACCCAAGGACTATTTTTTCATTTTTTTATAGACAGGGTCTTGGTATGTTAGGCTGGTCTCAAATTCCTGTCCTCAAGTGATCCTTCCACCACAGTCTCCCAAGTTGTTGGGATTACAGGTGTGAACCACTGTCGCTGGCTCCTGTTCAAGTTTTATCATGAGATTGCAGCAATTCAGTCACATCTTCAAGTGCTACTTCTAATTCTATTCTCTTGCTATTTCTATCACATCTGCAGTTACTTCCCTCAGTGAAGTCTTGAACCCCTCAAAGTCACCCATGAGGGTTGGAATCAACTTCTTCCAAACTCTTGCTAATATTGATATTTTGACATCCTCCCATGAATCAGGAACGTTCTTAATATCATCTAGAATGTTAAATCCTTCCAGAAGGTTTTCAATTTATTTTGCCCAGATCCATCAGAGGAATCACTATTTCTATAATCTTAGGAAATGTATTACTTAAGTAATAAAACTTGAAAGTTGAGATTACTCTTTAATCCATGGGCTGCAGAATGAATGTTGTGTTAGCAGAGATGAAAACATTAACCTCCTTGTACATCTCCATCAGAGCTCTTGGGTGACTAAGTGCATTGTCAATAAGCAGTAATATTTTGAAAGGAATCTGTTTTTCAGAGAAATAGGGCTCTAATAGTGGGCTTAAAATATTCAGCAAATCATGCTGCAAACAGATGCGGGGGTCATTCAGATTATGTTGTTTCATTTATATAACATAGGCACAGTAGAGTTAGCATATTTCTTAAGGGCTCTAGTATTTTTGGAAAGGTAAATTAGCATTAGCTTCAGTTTAAAGTCAGGAGCCGCATTAGCCCCTAACAAGAGAGTCAGTCTGTCCTTTGCTGCAGCTTCTACATCAAGTTTTTTTGAGACAGTGTCTTGCTTTTGATGCCCAGGCTAGAGTGAATGCTGTGGCATCAGCCTAGCTTACAGCAACTCCAAACTCCTGGCTCAAGCAATCTGCTGCCTCAGCCTCCAATAGCTGGGACTACAGGCATGCGCCACCATTCTGGCTAAATTTTCTATATATATAGTCGCCAATTAATTCTTTCTATTATAGTCAGAGGTGGGGTCTTGCTCTTGCTCAGGCTGGTTTGGAACTCCTGACCTTGAGCAACCCGCTTCACTCCAGAGTCTAGCGATTACAGCGCTGCAGCCACCCTCCGCCCACCCTACATCAAGTTTTGAAGCCAGGCATTGACTTCTCCTCTCTAGCTATGGAAGTCTTAGATGGCATCTTCTTCCAACAGAAGGCTATTTCATCTACATTGAAAATCTGTTGTTTTAGGCCAAGCACAGTGGCTCATACCTCTAATCCTAGCACTTTGGGAGGCTATCCTGGGAGGGTTGCTTGAGGCCAAGAGTTTGAGACCAGCCTGGGCAACATAGTGAGATCTTGTCTCTACAAAAAAAAAAAAAAAAAATTAGCCAGGCACGGTGGCTTACACCTACAGTTATAGCTACTCAGGAGGACTGCTTGAGCCTAGGAGTTCAAGGCTACAGCAAGCTATGACTGTACCACTGCACTCCAGCCTGGGTGACAGAGTAAAACCTTGTCTCTTAAAAAAGAAAATGTATTGTTTAGTGTAGCCACCTTCATCAATGAGCTTAGACAGATCTTCTAGATAACTTGCTGCAGCTTCTACATCAGCACTTGCTGCTTCATCTTGTGCTTTTATGTTATGGAGATGGCTTCTTTCCTTAAATCTCATGATATAATCCCTGCTAGTTTCTTTTTTTTTTTTCTTGAGACAGAGTCTCACTTTGTTGCCCAGGCTAGAGTGAGTGCCATAGCGTCAGCCTGGCTCACCAGCAACCTCAATCTCCTGGGCCCCAGCGATCCTACCTGCCTCAGCCTCCTGATAGCTGGACTACAGGCATGGCCACCATCGCCCAATTTTTGTATATATATTTTAGTTGGTCAATTAATTTCTTCATTTTTTGGTAGAGATGGGGGGGGTTTCTCATCCAGGCTGTTTGAACTCCTGACCTTGAGCAATCCGCCCGCCTCCCAAAGTGCTAGGATTACAGGCGTGAGCCACCTCGCCCCGGCCCCCTGCTAGTTTCATACTTTTGTTCTCCAGTTTTTCTCCTCTCCCAGCCTTCATAGGACTGAAGAGAGTTAGGGTCTTTCTCTGGATTAGGCTTTGGCTTAACGGAATGTTGTGGCTGGTCTGATCTTCTATCCAGACCCCTAACATCTTTCTCCATATCAGCAATAAGGCTGTTTCACTTAACATTTGTGTCTTCACTGCAGTGGCACTTTTAACTTCCTTCAAGAACTTTTCCTTTGTATATACAATTTGGCTGTTTGGTTCAAGAAGCCTCACTTTCAGCCCATGTCAGCTTTCAATATGCCTTTCACACTAAGCTTAATCATTTCTAGCTTTTCTGTCACTTGAACACTTAAGAGGCCACTTAGGGTTATCAACTGGCCTAATTTCAATACTGTATTGTCTCAGAAAATAGGGAGGCCAAGGAGAGGGAGAGAGATGAGGAATGGGTGGTCAGTGGAGCAGTCAGAACACACCTAACATTTACTTATTAAATTCCCCATCTTATATGGCCATGGTTTGTGGTGCCCCAAAACAACTATAACAATGACAACAAAGATGACTGATCACACATCACCATAACAGATATAATAATGAAAAAGTTTGAAATATTGCAAGAATTGCCAAAATGTGACACAGACACAAAGTGAGCACACGCAGTTGGAAAAATGGTGCTTATAGACTTGCTTGATACAGGGTTGCCAGAAACTTTCCATTTGTAAAAAACGGATTATCTGAGAAGCACAATAAAAGGAGGTATGCCTGTAGTTAGAAACACAGCAGAAAAGGTAACTGGAGGCCACTCTATTGCTATTAAGTACCTGTAGTCCAGGGTACAACAGACCACTCAGCAAAGGGTGCTCCACCTGCTTTACAACTTCAGCTCCAGCTTTCTTGGCATCATGTTGTGTGACCACGGATGAAAGTCTGTACACATCTAGCGTGTACTCTCTGAAGAGGGAAGGAAGAGGGGACAGTTGTAAGTCAGAGCCTAGGCCTCAGTTTCCTAGGGCAATCCTAACGCACATTAATTGACTCCCCTAATCTTAGAACATTCAATGAGAACACCTGCCTGGCAGATTCTATAATGTAAGAGATCTATCTTTCTATCCAAAATATTACTTTATTTTATGTTTTCCCTTTTACTCCGCCCACCCCACATCAAGTTTTGAAGCCAGCATTGACTTCTCCCTCTCTAGCCTATGCGAAAGCTCTAGATGGGCATCTCTTCCAACAGAAGGCTATTCATCTACATTGAAAATCTGTTGTTGTAGCCAAGACCAGCTGGCGTCATTACCTCTAAGCCGTAAGCTACTTGTGGGAGGCCTATCTCTGGGAGGTTGGCTTGACCCAAGAGTTTACGACCAGCCTGGGCAACATATGAGATCTTGTCTCTAGCAAAAAATAAAAAAAATAAAAATTAGCCAGGCTCGGTGGCTTACACTACAGTTATAGCTACTCCAGGAGGGGCTTGAGCCTAGAGTTCAAGGCTACAGCAAGCTATGACTGTACCACTGAACTCCAGCTCTGGGGACAGAGAAAACTTGTCTCTTAAAGAAAGAATGATTGTTTATGTAGCCACCTCATCAATGAGCTGTAGAACAGATCTTCTAAGAATAACTTGCTGCAGCTTCACATCAGCACTGCTGCTTCATCTTGTTGCTTTATGTTATGGAGATGGCTTTTCTCTTCCTTATAATCCATGAATGGAATCCGCTGTAGTTCTTTTTTTTTTTCTGTGAGACATGAGTCATCCACTGTTGCCAGGTAGAGGTGAGTGCCGTGGCCGTCAGCCTGGCTCACCAGCAACCTCCCAAACTCCTGGCGCTGGGCGGCCAGCGACCCTAACTGCCTCGAGCCTCCTGATAGCTGGACTACAGGCATGGCCACATCGCCGGCAATTTTGTTATATATATTTTAGTTGGTCAATTAATTTCTTTCTATTTTTTGGTAGAGATGGGGGGGGTTGTCCATCCAAGGCTTGGTTTGAACTCCTGAGCCTTGAGCAATCGCCGCTCACGCCTCCCGAGTGCTAGGATTACAGGCGTGAGCCACCCTCGCGGGCTAGAATGAGTGCCGTGGCATCAGCCTAGCTCACAGCAACCTCAAACTTCTGGGCTCAAGCAATCCTTCTGCCTCAGCCTCCCAAGTGGCTGGGACTACAGGCATGCGCCACCATGCCCGGCTAATTTTTTCTATATATATTATTTGGCCAATTAATTTGTTTCTATTTATAGTAGAGACAGGGGTCTCACTCTTGCTCAGGCTGGTTTCGAACTCCTGACCTCGAGCAATCTGCCCGCCTCGGCCTCCCAAGAGCTAGGATTACAGGCATGAGCCACCGCGCCCGGCCCTCATATGGTTTTAATCTATATTTCTTTGAATAATAACCAAGGAGGTTAAGTATCTTTCCGTATGCTTATTAGTCATTCAGGTTTCTTCTGTGAAATGCCTAGGTAAGTCTTTTTCTACTGGATTGACTTATTTTTTTTTAACAGTTGATTCTTGCTAGGCACGCTGGCTCATGCCTGTAATCCTAGCACTCTGGGAGGCCCACGCAGGTGGATTGTTTGAGCTCAGGAGTTCAAGATTAGCCTGAGCAACAGTGAGACCCCCATCTCTAAGAAAAATAGAAAGAAATTAGCTGGATGACTAAAAATATATATAGAAAAAATTAGCAGGCATAGTGGCGCATGCTTGTAGTCCCTCTCAACTGCTGGGGAGGCTAAGGCAAGAGGGTTGCTTGATGCCAGGAGTTTGAGACTAACCTGAACAAGAGAATGACCCTGTCCCTACTAAAAATAGCCAGTCTAGCCGGGGTGACAGAGCTACATTCTGTCTCAAAAAAAAAAACAACCCACAAACAAAAAACTTTATTCTTTCTCTGCTGATCTTGAATGCCAGCTCTGTCATAAGCCAAGTTTCCATAGTTGTAAGGATCCATTTCTCAACTCTCAATTCTGTTTCATTGGTTAATTATCTGTCCCCAGGCTAATTCCATATATATAAATGACAAAGAATTTGGTATCCAGAAGACATAAATAAGGAACTCCTAAAAACAATAGAAAAGTGGGCAAAAATGCTTGCATAGATACTTCACAGAAGAGAAAACCCAAATGGCTGATAAAAAATGAAAATAAAATTTTTCAGAGGAATATTTTCAGGTATTTTACCCGCTACTTGTGTGGTAATTTGGCTGGGTATATATTTTTAGGTTGGAAATTTTGTTTCCTTCCGAATTTTAAAGGCATTGCTTCATTGCCTTTTGGGATTTTAGTGTTCCTTTTAAGAAATGCAAAGGCATTCTGATTCCTGACAATTTTTACGTGGCTTCTTTTGTCCCTTTGGATGTTTGTCCAATACTTTTTGCCCCTAGTATTTTAATATATCAAGAAAACACACTTTAAAGTATGTTTATTTTCATCCATCGTGCTAGGCACTTGATATGCCCTTTCAACCTGGAAATTCATGCTCTTTAATTGTTCTTATTTTCGTAAATTATTACATTGATAATTTCCTTCCCTCTGATTCTGTTATTTCTCTCTCTCTCTCTCTTCTCTCTTTTTTTTTTTGAGACAGAGTCTCACTTTGTTGCCAGGCTACAGTGAGTGCCATGCGTCAGGCCTAGCTCACAGCACCTCAATCGTCATGGGCTTCAAGCAATCCTTCCTGCGCTCAGCCTCACGCAAAGTAGCCTGGACTACAGGCATGTGCCACCATGGCCTGGCTAATTTTTCTTCTATATTTAGTTGCAATTAATTGTTCTATTTATAGTAGAGATGGGGGGTCTCACTCTTTGCTCAGGCTGGTTTCAGAAATCCTGACCTCGGACCAATCCGCTCGCTCAGCCTACAGAGTGCTAGGATTACAGGCGTGAGCCACCACACCCGGCCTCTCTCTCTTTTTTTAAAAACAGAGTCTCACTCTGTTGCCTGGGCTGCAGTGCTGTGGCGTCAGCCTAGCTCACAGCACCTCAAACTCTGGCTCAAGCAATCCTTCTTGCCTCAGCCTCCCAGGTAGCTGGGACTACAGGCATATGCCACCATGCCTGGCTAATTATATTCTATATATTTAGTGTTCTGGCTAATTTCTTTCTATTTTTAGTAGAGACGGAGTCTCACTCTTGCTCAGGCTGGTCTCAAACTCCTGAGCTCAAAGGATCCTCCTGCCTTGGCCTCCCAGAGAGCTAGGATTACAGGCAGGCATGTGCCACTGTGCCCACCCTCTGTTCTCTTTTTTGAAATACTTATTATTCAAATATTGGACCTCCTGGCCTACTACTCTAATTTTCTTATGTGTTTTCTCATTTTTTCCCCATTGTGCTCTGTGAGTCTATGAAAACCAAAGTTCAGGAACATACAATTCAATGAGCTCCCTTAAGGTACAAGTCATCTTCAGTGTTCCATTTACAATATTTTACAGATTCTACGATACATATTTTTTAACATTTAACATCTTTAAAATCTAAATGAGTCTTATAAACAATGGCATGTTATAGATTAACAGTATTTTTAAAGGTATCTTAGATCGAATGAAATACAGTATCTCTTTGTATTCTCACTGTCATTCTTTTTTTTTTTTTTTTTTTTTTGAGACAGAGTCTCGCTTTAGAAAAAAATTAAGCCGGCATGGTGCGCATGCCTGTAGTCCAGTACCTGGAGGCTGAGGCAGAAGATTGCTTGAGCCCGAGTTTGAGGTTGCTGTGAGCTAGGCTGACATCACAGCACTCCAGCCCAGGCAACAGAGCAAGACTCGGTCTCAAAAAAAAAAAGAATACTCGGTGGTCAGAATGACAGTGAGAATACAAAGAGATAGTATTCATTCGATCTAAGATTCCTTAAAAATACTGTTAATCTATAAATGCCATTGTATATAGACTCATTTAATTTTAAAGATGTTAAATGTTAAAAAATATGTATCGTAGAATCTGTAAAATATTGTAAATGGAACACTGAAGATGACTTGTACCTTAAGGGAGCTCATTGAATTGTATGTTCCTGAACTTTGGTTTTCATAGACTCACAGAGCACAATGGGGAAAAAATGAGAAAACACATAAAGAAATTAGAGTATGGCAGGAGGTCCAATATGAATAATAAGTATTTAAAAAAGAGACAGAGGGTGGCACAGTGCACATGCCTGCCTGTAATCCTAGCTCTCTGGGAGGCCAAGGCAGGAGGATCCTTTGAGCTCAGGAGTTTGAGACCAGCCTGAGCAAGAGTGAGACTCCGTCTCTACTAAAAATAGAAAGAAATTAGCCAGAACACTAAATATATAGAATATAATTAGCCAGGCATGGTGGCATATGCCTGTAGTCCCAGCTACCTGGGAGGCTGAGGCAGAAGGATTGCTTGAGCCCAGGAGTTTGAGGTTGCTGTGAGCTAGGCTGACATCACAGCACTCCAGCCCAGGCAACAGAGCAAGACTCGGTCTCAAAAAAAAAAAAAAAG